CCATTTTCATCCAAACCATTTGCCATCCTTCCCTATTTTTGGTCAGACACACCAAGCCTCTTGTTATTGAAGGCTGTAGTTCCAGCATAGCATGACTAAGAGAAAGAGTTTTGGACTTTAAGAATTTGGAACCGGCTCTTAGCAGTGATTCTAAAAATAATAATAAACTACCACTAATGTAGATGAATATATCTCATGCTCAACCCTTGATTTTGATTTGCCTATGGGCTGAAATGAGGAATGGATGGATGAGAGTGCCCAGAAAGTTCCACGCTCTTTTTGAGTTAAATATGGCCAAAAGAGTAAATTTTAGACCTTTGTGCAATTATTCACTTCCACGATGACAGAAAAAACTACTTAGACTCTCCTTTTTCTGTGAGGGGGGGGAAAAAATCACTTCTCCAAGGCCACAGTAAAGCCCACAATGTTTCAGAAGATGGTTTTCTGTCCCCATATAGAGATTATGTGCATGATTAACAACCAATTAATGATTAACCTGATTAATGATTGAAATGAAATCTAAGCAGTAGGTGGGGATGATATATTAGGACTATATTGGTGAGGAGTGAGGAAGGTAGGAAATCCAACTGAGAAATCTACTCTTTTGTTATATGGTTAATCAACCCCCCCACACTTTCTTTAGCTCTTCAGAATTTAAATCAAATTTGGTGCAACTATTTGTCTTAATTGAAGCAATGATTTTTTAACCTACAAGACTCAATGCAGTCTGCCCACAGGAGTAAACTTGGTGGGATTTTAGTGAGAATATTTCATTTTCAAGGGCTACTGGTTACATCTTGGTGAGAAGTTTTCCCTTTCCCCCTCTTTAATCTCAATTCAGACTGTGATTTATTCAGCTATATTTCCAGGATAACATGCTGAGATGATGATTTTTGTTGGAAGACCACACTAAAAATTGTACTGCAATTGGATGCAACATGGGAACCATCATAATCAGGACTTCACCACTGAAGCTCAGGAACAATTTTGTGGAGGGTCATGTTGCGTCTTGTCTGGGGCTTTCACGAATTAAAAATCTATTTACATGTGAATTTTAAATCAAAGCAAAGCCATTCTGTGCTTTGATTTAAAGCACTTACATTTTTCTCTTTGCCTCAAACGTGGGCTGCCTCCAGAGTTCTCATTTGAATGTTCACCAGCATAACTCCTGGGAAAGATGTTTTCTCCAGCAGTCAAATAAACTCTCTATTAATGCTGTTAAATTTCTAACACAAGCAACTGGATAAGACAGAGGATGGCAAACTGTTGAATTGTTGTTATTGCACATCAACCAAGGCAGATGTGAAACCTGAACTTTCCAATGGGATGTACTGCTGTAGACAGTCTTTTTACCTAGTTTTTCCCTGTTTCCTTTGCCTCAGGAGTTTTCCAGCTGGATTAGGAAGGTCTCAGTGCTTCTGCATGTGTGAGGTTTTCTCACTGTAGATTATGGCCTGTTCAGATTGCAGTGCTGAGGTTTAAGTGCTGATGAAAAAGATTTGTAATAGAGTAATGACTGCTGTTAAAAATCAGAGGAAAAGAGAAAACTTAGAGAGGGAGGAAAACAGGAGAAACAAAGAATTTATTTCTAGTTGATTTTTATCTCAGGAACACTGAAATCACTCTGTAATTGTTCAGCTAAATAATACCTCAGTTCCAGAAACAGGGTGGTTGGCAGGCAAATTTGCTAAGTGGGATTTTCTTGTGCACTGCAAGAGAGCCTGGAGCCTGTGAAATTTCTTTGATTATAAAGCCAAGGTACATAATTTCATTTGGAAATTCTGACCAGTGGCACATTGCAGGCTCTCTAGGTGTTGCAGTCTTGAGTGGCAATTCCATTAACTGCTAGTTTGTAGTGCTCATGAGCCCAAAAGTAGCAGGGGAAAGGGCAACCTGTGACTGTCTCTAGATCAGTAATCTTTTTTTTTGGGCATTTATAATGTAACAGCTTGGATCCTGCTCAGTCCTCACAACCCTGTGACTCCTGAGTCCCTATTTCTTCAATGCAAATGAAGATGGTTTCCTATATCCTTTCTGGAGAGCTTTAAAAACATTAGTCAAAATTTACATCTCTGGGCACCTTCGGTGTGGCTTATCCCCAGTAATGAATGAATTGTTGTTCTGGAATCTCCAGAAATCGTGTCTCCTACCTTGATTCCTTCCTCTATTTCATTACTTATGCATTACATTATTTAATGGCAGACTCTTTCTTCTGATTATAATTTAGGAACCTCTCTGCTCTAATCACCCTATAGGCAGAGGCATCCCCTCTCAATGCCTTCTTCACTCTGAAACAATTCTGAGAAGTGTGAACACCTTAATTTCAACCTGAGAAGTAGCCTTGGGACAAAATTCAAGTTCTGTAGGCAAAGGAACAGCAAGGGAAGGCAGAGTTCTTCAAAGTCATCAACCAGCAGGGTCTAGGGAAGAGTTTAGCACTTAAGAAAGAACACTGAGGAGTCATCCATGAGTAGTAAAATAATAGGAAAAAGTTTGACTTCATTTACTGACGTGGTGCCTTTTTTATTTTCTGAGCTCCTGGAACTCAGTATCTTCAGAGCATGTTGAGTGGTCAGTGCAGATCATGCTTAACTGTCCTTCTGATGCCGTGGATGTTTGGTAACTGAAATTCAGTGATATGTTCTATTAACAGCAATATATATTTGTACATGAACATGTAGAGATGTTGTGTTCAGCAGAAGGGTTGTTTGGGTACAAGGAGAGAAAAGCATACTCTTTTTATACCTCTGTCAAACTTCCATAATTGGCTTACCCTGACGGGACAGGATTTGTTATTTGTGGAGCAGCGGCTGCCTGGAGAAATGCCATGGCAGCCAGTTTAGCCTGAGTGTCCCACAGAGCCTTCATTAATCACAGCAGTGGGTGGAAAAGGCATTATCTTCATATATTACTCTCAGGGGCTGGTGGTATCCATTCTTCTAAGGTTGCTGCATGCCTCTGAAACTCTACCTACATGCAATTTGCTCTTCATTCTCCTCTTCTTTTTCCTTTCCTTGTGTTGAGACATTCAGCATTGCCTGTGGTACCCTCATTTCCTGCATCCTTTGCTAGCAAAGATATGGAATGGCAGAACCCTGACACCAGCCTGGGGTCTTTAACAGTGCACTGAAGTGGAAGAGGTATTTTTTCAGTGGTCATTCAGCTACCCTGTTCAAAAAAGAAAAAAGGAAGACAATAAGAACTTCTAGTAAAAGGAGAACATTATTCTTCATTACAGTATCCTCAAAACGTTCTTCATCTTACCTTCCCTGGAGATGTCTGGAAGCATCTCTGTGTTTCAGCACTGCCTGAGCAATTTAGCAGAGGTTTCTGCTCACAGTAGATATTGGAATCAGCACAACCTGCCAATCTTTCTTTGCCAATATCTGCCCTCAGCAGGAATGTTGGCGGTCAACGAGTGCAGCACTTTCCCAGCAGCTGCCAATGCAACTATGCAGGTGGTATTGTGATGGGAAAGAGGGCTGGCAGAAGGAATAACTTGAAGAAATAATTCAGGCAGCTCCAGCTGGCTTTGTCACAAAAGATGTCATTCCAGCACAGGCCATCAGGAATGACGGGAACAAACCTTGGGAGAGCAAAGCTCAGCACTGACTTCCCGAGGGAAAAGCTGTTGGTGCTCTGTGCCTGCAGGGCATTTATAATTTTTATCATATATAAATATATTTATAAATGATATATAAATATAATTTATAGTTATTATTCTGTGCATAGCCCATCCTCTTGCTGTCTGGTGCTGCTGGTAACAGAAATATTACTGGTGCTGCTGGTAACAGATATAGACATACTGTGGGTATGATCATAACCTACTGAGTTTGAAAATGTCTTCTGCCCTGTGGGAGCCTGCAGAGACTCATTATCTCTGAGAACCTCCAGGGAAAACACCAGAATCCACAAAAGGTGCAAAGCTGAAGAAACCTCGCTTCTGTTTTTGGCAGCTCTTCCAGCTGTATCCCAGGCTTGTAACCAGCCCTTTTTCCTGCAAGTGTAGGTGGGAATGATGCTTTGAGTGAAAAACCATAAATTTTGCTCCAAAACAAATTAAAAAGGCTCCTAGCTTTCCTTTTTTTTGGAAGGGAAACCTGAAAGTGAGAAGTTTTAAGTTTTGGGAGAAAACTCCAAAATGATTGATTTTGAAACCTTAAAACTTCCAAGTCCGTCTCCTGAGGGATCCAATAAATGGAATGCTGAGTGGCAGTAAAAATTTCAGATCAAATACATGCAAAATGTGGTTAATTTAAAAACGAATCTTTGCACTTCAGATGTTGGACTCTCTGACATAAACTGATATGATAACAGTGGTTAAAAAAACCCCTGAGTTTATTTCAGCCAACATGTGGAAGGGTTTGAAAAGCATTAGCTCAGAGTTTGAGCCCTCAAATGATACTGAGCCTTCCTACTTCCACTGGTGCCATTTTTTAACAGAAGAAACAGCTTAATTTGACTCTTATCTTCAGAGGCTTAAACAGGAATTTGGTCTGAGAGGACTGTGCAGGTTCCCTTGCCAGTGTTGCTTGCTGTGTTTTATGAGTGCATGTGATGACCTGGGTGACTTCATACAGGCTGTTTACAGCATGATTAGAAAGATAAATGAAACATGGTTAAAGTTGTTAAATTCCAGTGTCCCCTCATTGCACAGTAAGTCATGAACTCTACTGCAAAAAAAAAAATGGAAAGAAAAGCGATTTAAAGTGCATCTCATCTACTAAGGGCATGTCATAATTCCAATGAATGCTTTCTATTACAAGTTCTTTTTGCATCTGCTTATGAAAAATGAACTGAAATTGTAAATCATTCTATAAATCCTAACTGAAACAAAACGTCTGAGTTCTGAAACCAAAAGAGATGTATTTAGATCACCAAAACTTTTATTCCATGGAATTCAGAAATAAAGTTTTTAAAAGACCCAAAAGCCAGAAAACAACAAACAACAACAAAACAAGACCCTCCTCTAAACTTATTTTTTTTAATCTGTCTTCCAGTTCTGGGAGAGGAAATTCTGCAAACCGACTCTGAACTCAGGAAAGGGAGGTACTCGGGAACTTGCTGTGCTGAAGGAAAACACAAGAGGTAAAACATAGTGACATCCAGAAGACTCTGTGCTCAGTCACACAACTGTTCTGAAAGATGCAGCTCTCACCCAGGGCAGAGCAGTGGGACTGGAGGCAGAACACTTTTACCAACAAGCAGCATTTACAAAGAGCAAATGCAGGAGAGCATTTAAAAATTGTTGATATCAAATGCTCTCTTTGTGTCAAAGCATCAATGTGTGGAGTAATTCCTTTGCATTTGCACAAAGATTTGTCTTTTCTACTTCAAGAACTGAGCAAAGGTAAAAGGATTTGTTCTGCCTTTCCTAACTCCTCTGCTGAGCATGTTTTTTTCTAGACAACTTGCACATTGAGTAGCATTTACTGTACTTTTTTACTATATTCTGCTTGTTGGTCTCTTTTTGCAGCTCAGCCCCTGGTATGCAATTAAAAGTTTTAAGTGACACCTTATGCCCTGTTAAGTTGCTAAGTCCTACAACAGCATCTGGAAATTATATCTGTCTCTCTAGGTGTATTCTTGGAAGAGAATTCACTATAACTGTAATTCCCCCTTTACTTTCCTTCCCAGCCTTATCTCCTCTGAGACCTGACAGGGAAAAGTAAAGACAAGCTATGAGGCAATTGATATAAAACCTGTGTACATGTAAATCTAAGTTACTGCACATAAAAGGAAGGAAAATCAAAATTAGAACAGTACTGGGAGTTAAGTGATGGGAAATCTGGAAGGCTTTTGTTCCATCTTGCATTTGAAGCATAAAACAAGAAAATTGCAGGTAATGGGAATCTTGATCCAGGCAATGAAAACCAGGGATGTACAGGGGAGAGAAAAGTCAGACTGAAAAATTAGTGAATAATTCTGTTTCTCTGAAATGAATTATTATTATTATTATTATTATTATATAGACAAAAGTTCTTACTGTTAGCAGGGGTAGACAAAATTTCAAAAGGAGTTCATGTTAGACAAAAGACATGCCTGAATCTTTGCATCAAAATAACACTTCCATGTTTACAGCTCAGAGTTAGTCATTAAAGTTTGCCAGCGTGCTCTGTGTGGGTTGGCAATAATGATTTCTGTGAGACTGTTATGGTCTAGCTGGGAAAAATAGTGCTTCTCATGTGAGTTTTGTCACTTTAAAATATATGTGCAGCTGAAACTGCCTGGAGAAATATTGGTTGTAGATAGCTGCATTTGGTGACTTGGGCTGCTTAAGAGAAGGTTTAATAATTCACATTCTTTATGTAACATGTTATTGACTATGCATTAAACCCACACAAAGGTAGAGCAGCTGACGTGGCTCGAAGCCATTTGGATCCCACCTCTGAAATGGAGGGGAGGATTTATATCTAATCCCCTGCATCTGAAACAGAAAACACACGACTTCAGATCAGGAGTCGGGGTAGCAGCGCTCTGCACGTGATGGAGGAAGCTGGGCCATAATACTGCTTGAGCACTTTTATTATGGTGCTGCAGGGAACAGTGCCAGGCTGGTTTTGACTTCTCACTTTATCTGAATTGTTCTCCAGTATTATGACCTGCACTGTCTTAGTACAAGGGGTAGTAAAATCCCAAACATGCAGCCCTTAGTATTAGCATGGCCCAGCCCCATGTAAAAACTCACAGTAAATCAGCCTCGCTGCGGCCAAACCACATGTAAAAGCAAGCTGTGAAACAGACCCAACATGGCCAAACCACATGTAAAAGCACGCTGAAAGCCACCCTCCACACAGCCAAATTACACAGAAATCCGTGATGGAGAGCAGTCAGGCTTTGTGTGTTTATTGGAATAACTCAAGGCTGTGGAGAATCCCCTTCAAGTCACCTTCTCTCCCACCTAAGGTCTGAGCAACCGGACAGACCCACTCCCGAGACTTAAGTCATCAGGTAGGAAAAGTGGCTCCAGAAGGAATTAAAAGCAGCACAGTGGATTCAGGGTCAACCTGCTGCAGGTTGGAAAGTAGTGAATGAGCAAAAGAATCAAGCTCAGAAGGAGCAAAGGACTAATTTTTACTTTTCTGCTTCAGACAGAACTGTTTTTGCTGAGTGATTCCCCTTGATACATCCTACTAATGTCTCTGGCCACTTAGGATAAGTCAGTCAAGGGCCAAAAGAAAACCCCATCTGGCTCCCTGTGATTAATCTTTCCAGCTAGAAATGAGTGAGATGCAATTAGTAATCCCATTTTCACTTGTCCAGACTTCAAAAAGCCATCTTAGATGTTTTATTAGATGAGAGGGAAAACAATGAGAATGGAGCTTCCAGTTCACCGATGTTTTGTTAACTTGCAATGCTTTTAAATGGCTTTTTGTGACACATTTCATGTGTTATCATCCCTACAGTTAGTCATTCATGAAATATTTTGGGGGGGTTAGAGACCTTTTTCTCACAGTGAATCTCAAAGCACTTTACAAAGGAGTTCAGTATCATTTTCTGAGTTATACTGAGGCATGAAATGACCTGCCTGATGTGCAGGACATCAACAACAGACCCTGACGTGGAACCCGCATCTTCTGATCCCACATTTGCAGCTACCGAACATTATTCTCAGTTATCTGCTGCACTGAGAAGTCCCAATAACAGCTGCTGATCCTTGCTCTCTTAATGGAAATCTGGCAAATAAATGCTGTCTGTGGGAGCAGGTTTCTTATATCAGTATGAAATATCCAATTCTCCGGGAGCCAAAGGAGGATTTCGTCGGAAAAGGCAGCTCACAGGAGCTGGTAGGGACACATCTAAGGGTGTGCTCAACCAGCAAGAGTTAGTTTTGCTTTTCCCTTGCACTGTTTTGTTTGAACATGTCGCTGTTTAATATGCCAGTAAGGAGTTTGGGAACTGACTTCTGTGAGATAATCCGGGATTCCTGGCCTTTGACACACGACGTGGCTGTTGAAATCAAGGTCACAGCTTCCCCCTGTGTAAAACAGCAAGGCTTGACTGGCTGAGGTGGAGAAGTTTCAGCATATGTGTAAGCTGAAGTTTTGCCTAGGGGAGTAAACTTGGATTCAGTGAAAGGGGCTTTTAATCTATCAAAACCACTTTTAGATTCAAAAATTAATTTATTTGATCAATAGACTTTTCTTTTTCCATTTCCAGTCCCCTGGCTGAGCAATCTGTCTGGATATCGATGCCATAACTTATTTATACACTTTGCTAAATCCTCTAAATGCAATATTTGACAACTCATTTTTCCCTTGCTCATTCCAGGCTTGTCTTTGCAATTGTGCCTGATTGAGCACTACCGAAAAATACAGAAATGTGGAGCCAGACTGGTACCAAGCAGTTCCAGGATAAGGTGAGGTGCCTGCTTGCCCACTGCATAGTTCTGGCTCATGCTTGCCCACTTCTGGTTCCGTACATTAACTATGGCCAGGTGAAAAGAGGGTTCAAGAGCAAGCCTTGAAGCATGTTTTGCCATCATCTACACCTTTCTCACTCCTATGGAGAAAGGACTTGATTATTATGATTATGATTATTATTGTTGTTGTTGTTAAAATTATGGAAGAGTTGATATTTTGAGGCAGGACAGAAATTCTCTGCAATATGTGAACAACTTCATTGTTGTCTCTATGAAGTATCAGCTACTGTATTTACCATTAATGTGACATACTCATGCAAAATATTTTCCCAGGACACCACTGATGATGATAGTAAAAATACTCAAAGCAATATGTGAAATAAAACAGCCCTAGGTCTCAAAAGTGATCTTGCAAAGCCCAATGACATTATAATTGCATAGCACAGCAATGACTCTGACTAGAGGGAAGAAGCAGGGCAGCAAGTGAAGGAGGAGAACTATTGTATGGCATGGAAATCCTGGGTAAAATCCTGAATGGAGTTTTGCTATTGATTTGAATTGCTTTTTTAATTGTTTTAAGAACAGGAGAAGACAAGTAGAAGGGGAAAAAACATGGAAGTGTTTGAATGTGGAACATTTGCTTTTGCTGTCTGGGATTGTGGATTTATATTCTGTTCATTGCTTCTGTGCTGTTCTGCTGCTCCCTGTTATATCTGTCTGTGTGCTTTTACATCTCATTATCTGATGGGCTTTAACAAAATATGTGAACTTAGGAACAAAAACCCAAACAATGTCCATATTTGCTCTTGCTAAATCTTCTCTCTTTAATATAGAAGGGTAATCATGAACATGCCCACTGTGTGGTTAAATATATTCCTTCTGTCTCTGAAAATTATAATTTATAATTGGCTTTTAACTATCTCCACCACCACCAAATCAACATGTACAAGTATTTTCTTTTGCTTTATGAAGCTAGAGGCTCTGCAGATCATAAGGTAGATTCCTATCTCCCAAAACACTTGTCACTTCAATGCTCCATCACGTTGCTGTGGATAGAATTAGTTTTTTCCCACTTGCAGCTCAGTGGGAAAATCTTTCCTGGATCTCAGCGAACACCCCAAGCCAGGGCCTGATTTGGCAAGGTCAGACTGAAAACATCTCTCCACACTTACTTAAAGCAAGGCACGGCTCAAACCCTGCTTTGTCCAGCTGTCAGAAGCCTGAGGTGGGAAGTTACTTCAGCCACAAAGACACAGAGATTGATCAACTAGAAATACATCCATCGGAACTTGGGAGCTGAGGTGTCTCGGGATCCTTCTCTCTGGCCTTTTCAGCAACCATCCCTTCCAGAAATACAGCAAACACCCATTCTTTTATTAGCCCCTTTGGTATCTAATAGGACTGGGTTTGACAGCTCCAGCTTCTGGATTGCTGCTGCAGCAGCCTGCTCTGCTTGTACGCTCTCGAGATAGGAGTCTGTGGGGGCAGGGCCTGTTAAACACGGGGACACTGGCAGAAAGGGGCTCACAAGTGTTTCCTCTTCAGTGGGAGCTGGGAAAGAAAATTTAGTTGAACTACTCTACTGCTCTCATGAGTCCAGGGGAGAAAACCCACGAGGATAATTTAGAGACAGATAATTTAGGAGTTCAGAACCCCTGTATCTGTGAGAGAGCAAGGCTTCTTCTCTCTTGCCCTGCTCACCTTTAACAGGTTCAGAATTTAAGCCTTTACCCCTCACAAATCCTGAAATCTGAAGGAGTAAAAGCAGAGCTTTATCATCTGTTCTTGGGCAAGAGTCGTAGAACACTGAGGAAATTGTGTTTCCTGACGTGTGAACTGAAGAGTTGAAGCAGGAGTGAAATAAATAGGAAACTCTATGAAAACCCACGTGCAGAGAATTTTCTGACTAGCTGCAAGAGGCTGTCAAAATGGGAACAAATTTCCACTTCCATCTAGCTTTTCTACAAGTGCTAGGGCATAACTCAGACCTCTGTTTAGATAAGTGGAGTGATGCATTGAACTTGTGCCACTTTTGAGTCAGGAGCAAGAAGAAAACCCACCAAAATTATAAAAACATATGGTTAGGACTTTCCTCCCTCATTAAAACCCCCCTAACCTCAGCGACCTTGATACAGAGAACTTCTTTCACCTTAAGCCCTCCAGTTTCTCATCCAGTCTTCAATCCTTAGGATGTGCCCTTTGCCTTCATCCTTATTTCTTGGACAATCAGACCTATTTCTTGTTTGCCTCTGGGGCAAATTACTTCAAAATATTGGCACTTGGGAAAGTTGGATGGATTTGCTTCCAGAAGGGAAGATGCCCAAATAAAAAGGAAGTGCTTTTGAATGTAGTCTAATTATCCCTGCTTCTTTTTTAGTATCTCTTGCATTGTTTCATACAAAATTAGCCCATTTCCAGAAATATTTAATGACCCCATTCTTATTCTTGAATGGTTTTATCTCCAAGTCTGTCTGTCTTATTTTGGGTTCTCCTGAAAACAATTGAACCCTGGCTCCTTGGAGATTGCTTTATTCTGGAAAGATCACCACCAGACCCACGAGAGATGGGGGAAAGCCTGAAAGTGCTACTTCACAGTGGCATTCTTTATAATACTTCCCCCAATGGCAGGCTTGCAGCAGTGTTTAACACAAAAAAAAAAAAAGGGTAATTAAGACATTTACATCAATCAGAGCAGCTAATCAGAACAAAATGCTGATTTCTGTCTCCTGTTCTGTTTCTCTTTGGATGGAGAATAGTTGCTGATATGTGTGCTGGACTTCTAATCCTTTAATGGGGGCACAGGCTTTTGAAGACTCCCTCTCAGAGGTGCTATTACCAAATATATGCTTCTAATTTAACTTCTCATGCTGTATTACAGTAGCCTGAAGCAATTTTAGGTGTTGGGTTTGTGAGAAAAGCCCAATGTTGATGTTTATCAGATGACCTTTTAAAGGGTAATGTGGGGGTTATCCATTGGCATGATTAAGACCATATGTAGGTGACTTTTCCCAGGCATTTCTTCCCGCTTTTCAAAATCCCATCTATTTTTACCCAAACTCAGCCAGGTACCTTTCATCTCTGGTATGTTCATGGGCATTACAAGATGAGACTGAAGCAAAGTGTTTACTCCTTTGGAGTCATTTCTGCTAGAAAAGTCAAGAAAATTACCTAATGTCAACACAACACTGTTGCAGATAAACCTCAACTTTCTTTTTGAACATTTCAGATGTTCTCAGCAGTTTTTCCTTTTTCTTCTCCCCTCCATTGTCCCTTTTTACAAAGGTTTCTGAAAAGACTATGAAGAAGTGACTTTTCTCTGTGAAATTCAGCTTTTAGTGTTCACGAGATGACCTCGCAGGGATGTCCTGCTATGAAGCTGCTAGAAGACAGGGGTTTTGACTAATCCATTATCTCTGTCACAGAGAAGACTGTGAAATTGTTATTTTGCTGCTTTGGAAGCTCAGTATTTCACTCATGGCTCGTCATGGGAGAGTCCTTGCTGAAGACGTGTTGCTAATGTTTCCTGCAAGAATTGAAAACATACTGTTATCAAAAATTGTGTTTTGTTCTTTTTCCAGACAAATGATCTTTGTGTTACTGGATCTCTGCATCACCAACTGGGATTGAAAAAAGAGATGGCACGGAGAGATTCACTGCAAAGCAGGGTTCAATAGTAGTGGAGATATAAAGGAAAATATGGTGCTTAGATGTCAGGCAAGGAAGTAGGCACAGGGGCAGGAATTCACAGCAACTATGAACCCTTTTAGAGAAGCAAATAAGCCAAGTACCTTATGAAGTCTTTAGGTGTAAAAACTGCCCTTAAAAGGACTTTTTCAAAGGATCAGGACTTCTGTTCTTGTAAGTAGCTTTCACAACCCAGTATTTTGAGATAAGGTTACAGCATGGATTGTCTAAAATAAATGCATCTTGGAGCAATTCAGTCTTTAGCAGCTGGTGATATTTTCTGCCCCAGATTTGTAATTCATTATTAGGAAGTACTAATTACTCCTCTGTCACCATCCACACTGGTGCTGAGACATGTTTAGGAGAGGCAATGGAGAAAAAACTCAAATGTCATGTATATGCAGCCTTCAGAAAGAAATTAAGGGAGAAGTAGTATGTGTGATACCACAAAAGGTACTAATAATGCAGGAAAAAAAACCTTCATTCCTGCTGATTATTGGAGGGTTTTTTCCTAAGTATCAGATACTTCCTAAAGTCTGGTTTATGTGAAGGTAAACTGCAGTCAGACTCAAATTCTTGTACTCAGTATGAGGTGTCACAGTGAAATGTTGGGACTGTGACATAAGATATCAGAATGAGGGAGGCCTGGCTCTCACTTCCACTTGGAATGCTATGAACTAGTGCTGTATTTACATCAGAAGATGAAGCACCCATTTCCCTGGGGGTAGGATGGTTGTGTCTCAGGATCACGTGCTGTTTCAAACCCATCAGGTATCACGCTGATGAGCCACTGCTCATCAGACCCGCTGTGGCAGCTGATCCTACCAGCCCCGCACATGGCAAGTGCAAAAACCCGACTTCTTCACCTCTCCTCCCCTGTGGGGCAAAGCCAGTGGCATGGCTGGCATGTCCTGCAGGCTGAGAGCTGTGCACGTGAGCCGTCACCACCGCACGGCCAACGTGCGCTCACATGTTAAGCCACAGGAATGTGATTATGAGGCAGAGCTTTTCATCGGCTCCTACTACAAAGGCAGAGTGCTGCCCCACTGAATTCAGGGGCAAAACTCCTCTTGGCTTGGACACAGCCAGCGTTTCACCCATCTGAGCGAAATGCCAGCCAGCCTCTGGGCCCTCAAGCCTGGCCGCAGAAGGGGCAGTTCATGACTTGTGTATTCCAGAGGATCGGGAAGCTTTCAGGTTTTGGAGGAGTTTGATCTCAGCACAATGACCACAGAGGCCAGCAGGCAGGTTTTGCCTTTTCCATGGCAGTAGCTGCTTATCTTAGAAAACATTACACAGGCTGGGGCTTGGCTGGAGAACACTTACGGATCTCCCTTTAGCCGAAATGTATGAATTATGTTCAAATGGCTTGGGAATGGCTTGTCCATAAATTCCTGTAATAACACTGAATAATACTATCTCACCAGTTGTACCTCTCTCCCTGTTTGTGTTCCCCAGTAGCTTGCAAAAGCTATCAACATCAAATTAAGGGGTGGGATTTAGCATGGGGATTTGGTCTTCTTAATGTGAAAGAGGGCTTTGAAAAACTCAGTCTTAGCAAACAGCAGCTAATAATAATGATAACAATAATAGAGATAAGCCAATTCATATCTCCCCACCCAAAATATTTATATAATGAATTTGTTAATTGTATTTTATCTTCTTCTGAAGGGTGGGTTGGTAGCCTTTGCTTTGCAGCAGACCAAGGGGAGCTCTCGTGCAACCTGATGCCAAGAATATGTGTTATTTCATATTCTGTTATTTGCTTTGGGTTTAAGGTGGTGAGAGGAAATTCCCCAGCAATCAGCCCTAAGTAGTTTTGCAGCGAGCAAGTCTTTCAGTGCTTGAACATTGTTTAGCAGAGAAGGGAGGGAAATAAAAACCCCTTTATCTGCCTTTTATAATTCAGACATTTGCCACATATCTAGAGAGAAGCATTAAAAAAAAAAAAGAAAAAGCAAGCCCAAACATTCGAGTGTACCCAAATTAATTCCGGTGTCATTTTATCTGCCTAATTGGGCCTAAAAATAGCCTGTGGGAAGGAGAACCAGCAGCCTTGAATGTCTGAAGCAATTTGTATCAATTATTTCCCAATGTACCAGTTTCAAGTGAAAGCCCTTGCCTGAGTGCCTCCATTAGCCAGGTGTCAGAGCTCTCTGTTTTCATTCCAGGCTTTTCTCTGGGAACAGGGTGTGTGTGCGCACCAAAAAGCACCAAGGAGGAACTGGAGCCTTGGCGGGTCCAGGAGGGTGCCCAGAGCAGCTCTGCAAGCAAAGTTAGTGCCTTCACTCCTCTGTCATCACCAGTCCCTGAGAGCAATCACCACCCACCAACAGTTCCTTGAGATAAGCCCGAGCCAGCTGGGAGAAGAAAGCCTTTGATATTCCCCTGCCTTGCTGAGTAAGTATTCCATAACAATAATACTTTGAACTTTTACAGCACCTTTTCATACCAGGGTCTGAGTGCTCCACAAACATTCATTCCCCAAGCCTCATACCACCCATTAGAGGAAACCATTTTTTTTTTTAATTGTCCCACTTTTTTTAGGCCAGATCTTCCAAAGAGCTCAGCGTCCATTGTGCCTGCACTAGAGAAATTATTTTCTTTGTGCAAAAGAGCTGCAGTGTCTGGGTTCCACTTTAGATGCCTGTGGCAAATGTCAGTAATGTTTCCCCAACTCCTGCCCCAAAATGTTTGTGTCTTGGACTTCTGCAGGTCTGCAAAAATAAAGCTCAAAACCTTGTAAACTGCTTGTCTTCTGCTTATAACCCACAGGAACCCTCATGAGCCCCTGATGAGAATTTTTTTGACAAAGCAAAATTTCATCACCACCCCCCCAGTTTCACTCAGACTTTTCTGTTTTCTGTAGCCATAATTTTTTTAGCTGATGAACAGCATTACAAGAAATGTAGATGTATTTGTTTTGTTCTTCAGAACTATTTTCTGTGGTGCTATTCTGCTTGGAAACAGAGCAAGAACGTACTTGTCTCAGACACAGACATACAATAGATAAATAAAAAGGGAGATGCTACTTCCCAGATAGGCATTGCATTGTGCTTTGCTACAGCAGGCAACAGGATTAAACTTTGATTTTCATCTCCTGTCTGCTTTCTCAGTGAGAAAATACAGTCAAGGCCAATGCTGGAGTTGATCTATCTCTATGGAAAGTTGATTTTAAAGTAGTGCCAAATGTCAGTGAAAAATCACTGTTAAGGTTTCCACAGTAACAATAACAGAGTCTTGTAGGGAGGGTGAGTTAAGAGTGCACTCTGCAGCCCAGAGAATAATAGAGGTGCCTTCCAGTTACTGGTCTGTTTGGGGAGCACACAGATTTTAATTTCTGTACAGCATTCACAGTATTTAGCTCTGCCCCCTGCCCCTTCTCTGGCCAGAGCATCCAAAGGATAAAGCCTTTAAGCTTTACATGGAACACAGCATTCAAGTCCTACTCCAAGGTAGAAAAATCCTCTGATGCCTTCAGCTCTCATTTCTCCCGATGCTACTGAAAATAATAAATCCCCTTGGCCTGTTTAATTTTTGGGCACTGTAGCTATGTTAGTTGGAAATACAGTTATCACTTTGTTCCTCTTCCCAAAGTCTTTGGTCATTCAAATCCCATGAATTTGAAGCAGATAATTCAGACACTTTTTGCAGTGACCCTGATCTCTTAAAATTGAAAAGTAAACTTCAAACATACAGTTGCTTATCCAAGCCCAGCTTCTAATCTTTTGAGATTTGCCCATCACAAATTATAAGTGCAATGTGGATAAAAGGGGGAAATGCAGAGTGATAGAGCCAAGCTAAAAGCTATCAAATATATCATCTCTTTGAGTAAGGCTGGAATAACATGGAAATGGGATATAACCTCCTGATTAGTTGAACTTCCTTTAACATGTACTCCTGGGAAAAGAGAGAGACACTGAAGACTAAATTAAAATAAAAAAATAAAAATAAAAATAAATTAAAAAAAATAAATAAATAAAAAAAAAAAAACAGGAGAGAGACAGAAGAAACAGAATTGTTTGAACAGTCTTTGAACTGCTGGAAAGATGTGCCCTCCAAATCACTTTCTTAACTTTCCCTGTAATTCAACAGCTGCGTTTCTCACAGCTCACATCTCAGAATGGACCAGCAGAGGTGACTGGGCATGAAAGAATAACACTGATGGAAGGTGTGTGTGGAAGGTGCTAATCTTTTGCCATGTGTATAGGTATGTAATCACTTAGCAGATAATCTCAGATTCTGAAAAGACAGCCATTCGTTTTAAAACAAACACCAAGTTCGCTGTTGCCAGGAAGCTCTGATCAGTTCATAATTTAGCTTTATCTCTCAGAAAATCCTCATCGTTATGGTGAAAGGATGTTGAATTTGTGTAAATCAGAATAGCCCCAAGTTTCTTGCAACTCAGATTGCAGCTGTCTCAGTGCAATCAGTGTCCTCTGACTGAGTTTCTCTGTCACTGCCACCAAAAGGTGACTCTCTTCCCTCTGGGCAGTCAGTGCATCAATAAGGCAACCGAAGGTGAAATGATAGAAATCAATCTGCCTCTCATTAGTGGGATGAATAGAAGCATTCCAGGGAGGGGAATCAATGAAGGGGTGAGGAGATGTGTTAAAAGAGGGATTGAAGAAGGAAGTTAATACTTTTTCAGAGAGTTGAGAATAAACTTTGGAGGACTTTAGAATAATGGTGTCTCACACGAGCAGTGTGATGTACATTCCGAGTATAAACACTGTTGGATAAAACAAGTGCAGGCTCCTAAGTGAGGCAGGTGTTTTTATGTTTTTGGAGATTTCAGAGGGTTTTAAGAATGTTTTTTAAACATTTTTCATATGTCGAGGATGGGTGTCTATAGGTGTGCTGGAACTGAGCCACTGAACTCGCACGGACGTTCTGTAGACACAAGATATATTTGCGTGTTTATGTTTGCCTGAGCTCACACACACAGGCCCACACAAATAGCATGAAAGCCACTCATACATATTTATTTCCCTTTTTACTACTAAGTAGAATATTCATTGCTGTATTTGTAGCCCAAATTACTTGCAAGGAGGAAAAAGTGATTTGTCTCTAAGCGGAAATAGAGATGAGGAAATTTTTCACTTGGGATGCAGTGAGAAGTATATTACTGAAGTGGTTCTGGAACAGCAAGTGTGGACACAAGAAGGGGTCTGGCTGTGCTTCTGGGAAGCCACTTTTCCCAGGCCAAGCACCTTGCATTTCTCACAACACAAATATGGCATTTGCTGCTTTTGGGCCACGGGCCAGCTCATTGCAATGCAGTGCTCCAGAGAGGGAGGCAAGGCAATTTGCCACAACACCTTTTCCATCTTGCTGCCTTAGCTCACTGCTGCACTTACAGATGGCCAACATTTGTGTCGTAGACATTTATCTTGTAAAATAGACTTTTGTATAAGAAGTATTTAGTGCAGCAAAATATTTCCCTTAAATTTAAATTTTCATCTTTTAGAAAACATTTTGAAATTTCAGATGTTGTTTTTTCTCCTTTTTGTCACCTTCCTTCTGTCTCACAGCCTGTTTTCTGAACACAGTAGATATTTGCCAAGGTTGAAGGATTCACTGTGTGTGAGGAGGTCATTTTCTCTTTTTTGTTCCCACTTATTTTATTATTTTTCTGATTATTTAAAGCTTTACCTATACCGTTAGTGCAGTGCATTCAAAGTTTGACTAGCACAGGTTCTCAGCATCCTATCACACCTCTCCATGAACTAAGTACAAGACAAAAGATTATATTAGAATCACCTTTTTTTTCCTTCTTTACCCGAAGTTTGTAAAATTAACCAGATAGACATAAAAATAGGTAAACATTTCTCAAAATTTGGACATTTAGGTTTTTCATGCAGTCAGTGGCAGACAGAAACTAATTTTGGGAAAGAAACAGAAGCGAAAAATTTTACAAATATTTTGGGTGAAAGAATACACTTTGTCCCAGTTTGAACCCTGAAATATAAATGACTTCAAAATAAGATGAATCTTTAGATGATTCCACTAATTGTGCCTTGTACACAATAGTTGAGAGTAAGGTCTTGATGGGCTTTGGATGAAAAGCAGCACTTCGAGTTCACACGAAAACAAGAAACCTTGTCTCTTCACACCTGGGTTACATCCTGAGTGAGACTGAAACAAGCAGCTTTGAAACTCCTGGTGAACTGGAATTTCTGAGAATATTTTCTTATGAATACACCAGAGCATGTTGCTTCTAAAATAAAGCCTGTTTCCTCAGAGCTCCAGATCCCTGGGCCTGCAGCAGTCCTCAAGGAATCGAGATGCACATGCTTTGCTGCTGAGTGTATTTGAGATGTCCCAGTTTATTTTTTGGCAGAACTCATTGCCAGGCTCAGTGGCAGCATCTAGAAATCAAGATGAGATCTTTCAGCACAGTGAACACGTATTTTACAGCTTAACTTTGCTTTCTCAAAAAAAGAATGAAGTGTGAGGACTTTGCTCCTCTCTGCTTAGAGTATCCAAGATATTTGTTTAAAGATTATATTAGAGATTTTGACTGATTTCAAGGCTTGCTCTGATTCCTACGTATCTCATGCTTTCTGCTTGTGGGTTCAGTGTTTTTTTAGTGACACAAACTATTTCAGGTCCTGCAGAAGTACTATGTGAAAAGAGATGGATTCTTCATGTCCTTGCAAAAGGTTTTTAATATGAAGGGAAAAAGCTTGTTACAAGAAAGAGAATATGTGGGGGATGACAAGTAATTATTCCCACAGAGAAGTGTATCAGCTGTTTCACTAGAAAAGTTCATATTTTTATGTGTGTCTTGCTAAGATGCCCGTGGACAAAGCTTTTTGAGAGCAGTTCTAGAAAGCTGCTCTTGGATTCTTTAGCATCCAGACAATGATTATACACCATGTGTACAAGGTGGTTAATGACCTCCTCTGCCAGATTTTAATAATTTGCGGCTCTTATGAGCAGCTGGTGGGTTTTTTGGCCGTCCATGTGAAGGTGGGAGAGGCTGCCAGTGGCCATGGTCACCCACAGCCACCCAGGGCTGTGTGTGTGCCAAGCACAGGGTGGTCACTCTGGTCACCCTGCCGGGAGCAGCGGCAGCCGCAGAGCAGCGCGGGAGGAAACGCAGAACAATCAGCAGGGAAATCCAACCCACAATAACAAGCTGGCCTCCACGAAAAAGAAAGGTCACTGCTTGAAAGCCACTATTTGAGAGCAGGGGGGAGTTGAAAAAGAGTGAGCTGAGTAGACTCAATGCCTCTGTGGTTCCAAGGAATTCCTTTTTTGTAAGGAAAACAATGCAGCGGAACAATGCGGATACTTGCAGCGCTTTCGAGGCAGTAGATTAATTTATTTTTTTTTTTCTTATAGAAAGTAAATTGAAACTGCTTCCATAAACAATAGGCACTGGCTACAGAAGAAAGTGGGAGCTTTTTGCAGAGATTTAAAAATAACCAAAAGTAAGGAGCGCATTGGCAAAACGTTCTGTTTTCCCAGCACAACATGGAAAACTCCACACAGCCTCAGCATTTGAGGAAGAGAAAGGCTACGAAAGCAGATTGGGAGACATAATGTGGTAAACTTCAAATCTGCCAGATTTTGTTTTCGAAGCCAGTGTTTGATGATAGGTTACCTCATGATGGGAATTGCGTCGCAGGCTTTGCCAGCTCTTTCCCCAAACATTCAAAATCTTTCAAAACATTGTTCTCCACCAGACCAGTTTATTCCAACAAATTATACTACCGTGTGCTGTGTCCCAACTCAGTCTGGTGCTTAAAGCTGCCCGTAACTGAATATTCATTAATTCCAGGCAAACATCATGGCTTGTTGTGCTCATGCCCTGGCACGGGGTGCAAGAACACCACACCAATAAAGCACACTCAAACCCCCCAATGCATTAACCCCAGCAGCTTTAACTTTTTCTTTTTTTTTCAATTGGTAAAGATAAAGCAGTTTTGGTGGTGTTACCTGATTCCTGACCTCTCTGATTACACCAGTGCCAGCATTACAGTGCAGCAGTCCTGCTGCTAGAGAGGATCCTTGTACTGGGAAAGCTTATTTGATTTTTCTGGATGAAAATAAGCTGGCCAGTATGCCCCAGTACACTGGCTTTGGTAAAGAAGATTTGGTCCCTTAAAGCAGCATTTATTTGTGTGTAGGCAAGTCTCCAATGAGTTAATAGTCATAAAAATGTCAATATTACAGCCAAAAGGCCTTTATTGTCAGATAGAAGCTCTCTATAGCTTTCATTAGGCCTAAGTAGCTGTATGCTTGTTTATTCCCTTCTCCCGTCAGAAATATAACATTGCTGAGAAGCAGTTGAAATTTATAGGTGTTTCAGTATCAGTGTCCACCTTTCCTGTCCCTTGCAGCTGTGCCTCAGTCTGCATGTTCTAGTTTTCCTTTGACTTTTGTAATTGAACATCTCTGAAGTTCAGAATGATTATAAATTACTTTGGGGATAAAAGTTTTGTCCTGTGAAGTTTTCTGGCAAATTGCTAGTTTTCAGCAGGGAAAAGCTCGTGATAACTGAGCTCTGAACCTATTCCATCAGGCTTTAAGCAGAGTAAAGACAACTGTAACCTGTTTCTTTTATGATAAACCTCAGAGAACAGGGTAAGTAAAGGGATTCAGAGCCACGTCCCTCTGAGGGGTTGTTACACTGCACAATCAGCATGAATCCTGGCCTTTACTGGTCTCCTGGGTAGAACAACCCTTAAATTCAAGATCAGACCCTTTGTTCTCCTCAGGCCAGCCCTGAGGGCTTCTCCCAGGGTCTCTCCCTTGGGACTGTGGGATGGGCACACACCTAGAGCCTTCCTTCTTGAGAAACAGTAGAGAAGCTGGACTGTACAGCTGCTAGCAGAAAATTTGGGTAGGACTGCTGTGGCAAAATTTGTGATGCAAGCACAGGCTTCAGTGGTGATGCTGACACTGCCAAAAGGGCTCATTCACACCTCTTGCAGGCTGCTGTGGCATCAAAGGTTGCTCGTGCTGATGAGTATGTGCAAGCCAGGAAAGTGGAATCAACCCTGGACCAGATGAAAACCTTCCCACAGCATGGATGGAGACTAGGCCAACCCTGGCACATGGAAATGGACCTGTGCAGCTTAAAAGTCAGGTAAACTGTCCAGAGTGTGTGCTCAACACAATGAGGTGGCCTTCAGGTCTTCAGGGCTAATTATTCTTGCACCTTCAAAGCTACAACCTCAGCCCCCCCTGCCATGTCTTGCACATTAGAAAACCTGCCAGGTAATCCAGTCGGTGTGAGGAGGGGCTGCAAGGAGGGAACCATCAGGAAAACATGAAGATTTCAATAGTTTCTGAATCCTGAGGAATAGGAAGGGGTACCTGAGCTAAGCAATAGAAAGCATGGTCATGAGAGGTCATGAGAGGCTGGGATGTTATGATTTAAGGTAGCTTTGGTGAGTAATTGTAAAAGTGGGATAAAGAGACAAATAACTCTTTATGTAAGACATGACCTGGGGCATCATGCCAGGCTATCACTTCCAGATTTGGAAGGATTCAGTGTTTTGTATGGCATGATGGAAACTTTTGAAAAATAAGGTTTCCCCTGCAGTGCAGGTGAGTGACACCTGGAAGTTTGTACACTGCCATCTCTGTACACCTCTGTACACCCCTCCTTCCCTCTCTGCTCTGTAGGCACAACACAGCAGCAGCAGGGAGAGGAGGATTTGTCCCAGTGAATACACAAGCTGTATGAGGATATCTCAGCAGGCAGCCCCCAAGCTCCAGCAGGACCCAAGGATCCAGGATCCAGGTACTCTCAAAAACTTGGATTGTAATGACTGAGACCTGAGGACCCAGCATTGTTGGAGAACAACAGTGATTTCCAGCCATCTCTTTTGTCTCACTTCCAGTGCTCAATCAGTCTAATTACTGCTGGGCCTTTGCCCATCCTGTTGTGAAATGCTTCAGGGGTTAAAGAAAAACAGCAACAACAACAAAAAAAGATCAAACTGTGGTCTAAACCTCAGGAGGAAGAAGGCATCTGTCAGGACAAGCTTTTACCAGAAATGGTATAAAGAATCCTTGTTTACTGAATCTTTCAAGTCTGTAGCTAGTTCAAAGACACCTCACAGTCCTCCTCATTAGAGGAGCAAAGGAACAGAAAAGCCCTCAGTCTAACTCATTAAAAGCAGTAGCTTTGTGTGCTGTGGTGTGGCAGGCTTTTGTAGGTTGGATTTTTTTCTTTTGCATCTGCTAATGGTAAAGTTCTTTCCAAAGTGATAATCCACCCCTGTATCAAAATGTGAGCAAAGGGGAACCTTCCATATTGGACTTGGATTTATTCACATATTTTGTAAACAGCTTAAAGATAACACACTCAGCAAGTGAGTGTGCCAGGAGTTACCATGAGTGATAAAAGATCTTAAGGCAGTTAGAAGGCAGTTTTCTCTTCAACATACTCATTTTTCTTGAAGAATTATGTTAGAACAGAAAAGAGTTACAATAGCATTGCAGCTCCCTGCACAGAAAATACCCAGGGAAGTGAAACAATGGCAGAATGATGGCATTCACCTGCACCACAACTGAGAGCATCAGTTGAGGGAAGAGGGCTGAACATTGCAGCAGATCCTCCATTTATCAAAAATGGTAATAATGACAACCAATAGCCTCCTTTTCCAGAACACTGAGGTGGAGTTGAGGATAATAACCTGGAGGGGCTTGAATTTCCTTGCAGCCAGGTCTCCTCCTGAGCCACAGCTGGCAGGACACCTCCTGCACCGGGGTGGTCACTGCTCACTGATCTCAGTGAAAACTAAATCGGGTACAGGCAAACTGCAAAATTCCTACTTTAGATCCCACTGAAGCCCAGCTTTGGTTCTCAGGCATTTCTCCCCCCTCATCTGTACCTTGTATTGTTTCTGCAGGGGATTCATTTGGAATTAATTCTTTCCACTTTTTTTCATTTCCAAAGAGTATCAGTTGACGTTCACAGGCTCTTCAGTGCTCCCCAAGCTTCATATTACACCTGAATGCTCATTTTCACTGCCTGAAGGTCTTTTGCAACCTAAATGATTCTGTGGATCTGGCCTGTACTTCAGCTTAAGGGAAAAGCTACACATTGATTGAGTTTTGGAGGAAAAGACTGGATCCTTCAGCTGTAAATTTATCTTGTGTTACGTCTTCGAGGTTCATTCATGTTATACTTTGCAAATGACAAAACAACATTGCTATTTATTAAAAACAATAGTGCTCTCATAATTTTGATGGAAAAACAATGGTACAGGGGTGATGATTATTAAATATAACTCCCACATCTTCCCCAGGGCCTGGGCAGAGCGAGGTGGAGCTTGGCTGTGGAGTCTCCCTGATCCTTCCATGGATATCAGCATCTGCAGCACCTGGGATCCACAGCAAAACTCTTTCCTCCAGAGGCCAAGAGCTGAGTCTATAATTTCAAGCAGGGTAATCACTTTTCCAAGGCAGTAACAAGCACTTCCCAAGAGCAGCTGTTTAAGATGGCTCAGAAGCAATGACAAGAACGTGAAGAAAAGTTTAGTCCATGAATCTGGCTTCTGCACATGGCAGGGAAGAGACACCTTTTGATAAAACATCACTGGACACTTTGTATTTTTAATTCTTCACGTCTGTCTGTGCTCCCACTCTAATCACCCCTTGCACTATTATTTTGTAAAAAGATATGTAGGAGATAAATTATGCCTGCTCAGGGAGAAGAGATAGATTTTTTTGGTTGTTTACAATGCAGCAGGTATGTTTTAAGCCCTGTAAACACACCAGAAGCTCCAGAGTTTGTACTGAAGTTTTCTGCAGGCACTGATTTCTTCTGCACTTCATATTAACAGTGCCCTGGGGTACCAAGTAGGCACAGTACTGGGAGTGGAAGAAGCAGATCTGGAAGATGCTTTGGGTAAAGCTCAGAGAGGTTTTTTGCAGCCTTCAAATGCTGCCCTCGCGCCACAAACTGGTCTGCTGTTGCCATCTGCTGGAAACATCCATTATGGATATTTCCAAACACGGTGAGCAGGAGTGTATCTGTTCTTATTACAGAAATACTTGAGGCTGTTTGTGCTTTCTAAGACAGGCTTTGTTCCCCTATAGGTCCTATGTGATCTGCCAAAGAACTCTGTATGCACCAGACTTATGTACAGCGTGCAGTGAACACAAGGTTCATGGGCAGAACCTGATTTCTTACATACTCACACCATGCTCTGCACAGTGAAACACCTTCAATCAAGACCAGTGTAAGAGCAAAGCCATTCTTCCATCAAATGTCTCCAACTATAGAGAAATATTAACCTTCCAAAGGAAGTTATCCTTCCTCTCTGTTGCAACTCTTCTGTTTCATGGCATCATAGAATGGTTTGGGTTAGAAGGGACCCTAAAAACCACCTAGCTACAACCTCCCTGCCCTGGCCAGGGACACCTTCCCCTCACCCAGGCTGCTGTGCAATGCCCCCAGGCCTGTTACTTGAGTGGAGCAATCCCTATTGTCTGTGCATGTTCACATGGAGACCCCACAAAATTTTACACAAGGTAAAGTCCTAAAGATCCTGTCCATCCTGACACATTAAATCTAGAATTTATTTCTACATTGCTTACAGTTATTTCTTTCTCAAATTATCATGCCTAGAGAAAAATATTTCTTCAGCCTGCTCCTATGAGATTTTCAGAAGCATTGGATATAATTTCCTTTTCCCTCAGATATCTTTTCCTCGCAGCAGGATTCCTCAAAAATCCTTTCCTTTTCTTAAAGGTTCTGTGGCTAATCATCCTGTACAGTGTAAGAGCACATAATATCGTGGGACAGGCGAAATCTCTCCTTGCTTGCAAGCAGCCTAAAGACAGACAGGTTGCTGGTTGCCACAGGCATTCTTAACACCATGTCATCAGGCCCCAATCTAATCTATGAGGTGTAATTGCCATGGCATTAAATCCGTTGCTGGTGGCTGATCACCTCCAGCTTGCAGGATTACATGACTCTGAGCTGGTGCTAACAAAGGCAGGAAGGGTTTAGAAAATGCCTCTGCTGCCGACAGGGCTTTAAAGTCTCCTACTCACACTGGAAGTCAATGGGGTGTGAATATCCCGCCCCCCAAAGCTGAGAACAACGGGACCCATGACTGCACTGCCTCTAAGATATACTTACACTGCCTATAAACTGTCCTGTAATGTGCCTTTGAATTCCAGAACAAGGGATGTTTAAGGCATAAACCCTGGCCAGACGTGCTGGGGACTGTTTTAGGTAGCACGGGGGATTGTCACTGCCATTTTACCAGGGGCAGAAGGTGGAAAGGCAAGTTAGCCCAGATCCAAGACAGTGCTGGCTATGTTCACTGACTTCTGGTTGGCTCAGCGTGGGGACAGAGACAACTTGCACCTTTACAAGCCTATTTATTATTTAAAGAACCTCTATGAACCTTTGCTAGCAGAATTAAGCATCTTCAATTACACTGAATTAATTTTCAAACGAATGTACACATCCACTGTGGCTTGTAGGACTTCTAGTATGAGGGAGCAAAGGCTCTGTAACCTCTCTGTGCCATCCATACTCTTACTTGATGTGAAAGTTGTACTGTTGTTATTACCAAGGCATGTCCCCAATGTGTCTCTTATTATCTTGCCATTTGTGATGCCTGAGGTTGGCTTATCCTAGTTAGAGTTCTGATGTAGAGGAACTGAATTGCCAACTCATATGGAAGTTTGTACTCACTGTGGGGTGACTTATCCTATCAAATTTCTGTCACAGATTACTGTGGCTCTGCTCCACAAAGACTGACGTGGCCCCCTTGTTGGCAGTTCTTCTTTCTGCAATAGCGTAAAAATGTTGTTCATATTATTTAAAAATACTATTTTTAAAGCTTTAAAAAGTAGCTAAAGTCATGTCTGAATGCTAGAAAGACAAGGGAAAACACATATGATACTGCTCCTTCTTTGTATAATTATTTTTCATTCAAGAATGTCCTGATGGGGATGAGCTTTTACGTATTTAGGGTCCCTTAGAGGTTTTCTTCTCCATGTGCTTTTGAGCCCCTCCTTTAGCCTATGTAAGCTATTTGTGTCCACCCCATCCTCCAGCAATGCCTTCCATAGGCTACCAAGCCATTTCAGGAATAACTGTCCTTTTTTTTTTGCTTTGAACTCTGATCTCCTGACTTGCTACCCTGTGTTCTTACATGAACAGTGATGGTGAACCTCTTGGCTTTCCTCCTTCTTCCTTTATTCAGTTGGTTGCTTTTAGGACTTTAAAACCACGTATTTTGTCTTCTCGTTGATGGTAAAACCAACCCCTTGCAATATCCATGGAAAGATGAGCATCATGGTGTTGATCAGAGCAAATAATTCTTTCAACTGCATTTTATCATTTGTCCCTGGAATTTGCCAGTCCCCTTCTTCAGCTTCCCCGTGAGCTCACCCACGTCCTGTGGAGCCACCAGAGACCTCACCAAGGTAGTGAGCACATGCTTTACCTAAACTGTGAAAACAGACAGTTGACCAAGTCCACAATTTTTGTCTGCACACTTATCCAACATGCTTTTGATGGCTCCGTTTCCCTGCACTGAAACTTTGTAGCATTGGAAAACTCTTCAAGTGTTTGCATCTCTGCAAAGTAAATATTAAGGAAGATAGTGTAGCTCTCTCACAGTCGACACCTCATCCTTTACAGCATCAGAGGCACAAATCTGTTTGTGTGCCCAGCTCTGCCGAGTTCACAGAATCATGGAATGGTTTGGGTTGGAAGGGACCTTAGAGAACATCTTGTTCCAGCTCTCCTGCCATGGGCAGGGACACCTTCCACTAGACCAGGTTGCTTGGAGCTCCCTTCCAGCCTGGCCTTGAGCACTTCCAGGGATGGGGCAGCCACAACTTCTCTGGGCAACCTGGTTCTCCAGGAACCAGTGGAAGAAGAAACCCCTCCCCAGCTGGAGCAGAGGCCACCGCAGCCTGTGCAACCTGTCACACAGCGTGTGAGGCAGGAAGGCCCTTTCCATTAAGTGAAAGATCTTCTGCAGGAAAACCAGAACAATGGAAAACCAAAGTAGATTTCAGCTCTCCCAGCAGATTTGGGAATAAACTGAAGGAGGAGCAGTGCTGGCTCAGTGCCACAGCTCTGCAGGCAGTGGGGACGGAGAAGCTGCGATAACGTGTCTCCTCGGCTGAGTCTTTAAAAATAAGACACTCGCTTTCTTGTTGTTTTTTTCAAGCATTACATAAAAGTTCCCCTTAGAAGGCCAAAGGCAGCTGTTTTCTTAGGCCGAGGAAGTCAGGAAGAGGCAAAGCAGGCAAAAACATCAGATAAGTCTGGATAAAAAACTTGGCTAACCTATTTTTCCCCCCTCCTGAACAGCCAAGTTCGAAGCACTCTGCAGAGCTCTGCCTGGGAGGAAAAGCAGAGCCAACCACTGAAAAGTGATATCTGAGCACTGGTGAGGACCACAGCTCTCCCTGCCTCCGTGTGGGAACTCCTGAGGTTCCATTCCATGTGGTGGGAGTACTTCTTCTCTCATACAGGCAACCCAGAGACCTTCTAAGTAACAAGCAGATAACTTTAGGTAACAAGACATCTCCAGTTAAGAAGCAATAGGAAATGGCCTCAAGCTGTGCCAAGGGAGGTTTAGATTGAGTATTAGGAAAAATTTCTTCACTGAAAGGGTGGTCAGGCATTGGAACAGGCTGCCCGGGGAAGTGTTGAGTCACCTTTAAATATCCCTGGAGATATTTAAAAGATGTGTAGATGTGGCACTTGGGGACATGGTTTAGCAGTGGGCTTGGCAGTGCTGGGTTCATGGTTGGACTCGATGGTCTTAGAGGGCTTTTCCAACCTGAACAAACCTATGATTCTAAAAAGCCTTGACCTCTGCCAGCTCTAACACAGCACGTGGATGTTAACAAAATGAAGCTTGTGATAGACCTGCAGAGAGGGTCTTGTCCCCAGACAGCATGGCAGGAACTTTATCCCTGCCTGGGACTCTGGACATCCGCCCTTGTGTTTCCCCCTGGGGAGCCGGGGAGAGAACAAGGTCCATCTGAAAGCTCCAGGGCTTGCCGGCTTTGGGGCTTTGCAGTTGTAGCGCCTTGTCACAAGGTGGCAGGGACGTGACACTGCCTGGCACGCTGCCGTCCTCACTGCTCCTCAGATCCTCACTGCTTTCCTTCTTACCCAGAAGCATATGCATTTATCAGCAATCTTCCGTCTTTTCTTTAAAACTGTCCTTGGGAGAGTTCAAAGGGAGGGTAATTAGTTATTTCAAAGCTTAAATATTTTACCTGTTTGCACTAAAGAAAAAAAGAAAAGAGACTGCTTTGCTTCCTTCTGCCTGGAAGTCATGGTGATGTGGGGAAGTGAGGAAGGGGTGGCCTGGGTCAGCTTCTGCTGAGCCTCAGCTCTGGCTGCTGCTGCTTTCAGGTTCAACCCAGAAGATGTGATTATTAAAAAGCAGGCAGCCCTTCTGTCCTGAGTCACAGGGATCATTTCTTCCTAAATAACTGAAGATGGGAAATTATTCTTGTAACTTCAAAAGAAAAATATATATACACCTCTCTCTCTCTCTATGTATCTATATCTATATATATATCACTTAATGCAAAAGAAAATCTCAGCAATATTATGTTTGCTCTGGCTTCACAGAGTGAATGCTTAACTTTGGCCTTCTGGAAGCAAATGTCTGTAAATTTATAGGACCAATTCCCTTCTTTTTAGGTGCTTCCAACAGTAATCTTTTACCCTTTCACACACCAGGAGTTTTGTGATTTTACTGTTCTGCTCTCTCAAGGGTGTTGCAGGCTGTGTGGCAAGGAGTGAAAACTTTGTCATTGCTCATCAAACATTTTCATGCAGAATTCTACCTGCAGTGATAAAATTAGATTTGTGTTAATAAGCTGCTAATAAGCACCAGGTAATTATTTAGTTTATCTCTAGAGCCCCAGCTGATCGTTGTCTCCTTGTGCTTGTTTGCCTGGCAGTCTGTAGGGACAGAGGATTTTCAGGTTTTTTAATCTGCTGTACATGCAGGGAGAGATTACTCAGCTGTCACTCTGCAGAAAACATCCCTATCATGCAGCAGGAGGTATCCATAACAAATTGCTGACATCCAAATTCAGCCCTGCACAAATGGATGTGTAAGATGCCTGCTGTTCCCCACGTTGAAACCAGACCATGGAGGATCAGAGGCATTGACACAGCAGAAGGAAATGAGCAGAAAATGACCCAAGTAGAGCAGGTACCATTAGAAAATAATTATTTCTGAGCTGCTGTTCTCTGTTCACAAATATTTCCCCTTTTCAGCACAATGCAGTGGCCCGAGAAAGGATTTTTGTGGGTCAGTTGGATGTGTTCCCTGCTTCATACTGAGGCTCTGAGATGGACCCGAGGTTTACACTTCAATTTCTGGGAACAGAAAGTAATCAGAAGTTTTTCCAGCTATCTAAAGCACAGACCCACGGAACCAAGTAAGTCTGAGCTCCTACATGCTTATTATGAACCTTGAGCTAAGTGATGAGTGTGTATATTCCCTTGCAAGCTTGCTATTTATTTAAATACACATAAGGAAACCAGTCTGAAGTTCAAGGCAGGCTCTTAGTTGGGAGGGAGGGAGGAAAATCCTTTCTTAACATGTGGCAATTCATCTGTGGAACTTGTCACTGCAGGGCAGTGTCAAGACTGAAAATATAATAAGATGTAGACTGAAATGGAGAAGCTGACAGGTGCCAAGAGCGTCTAATGCACAAGTGCACAAATAGATGCTTTTTGGTTTGGTTTAAACTCAAAGTTTATGGAATTTGGGAATGAGATGGCCTTTCTATCTTCTGAAATAAAAGCTAGGTGAACCTCAAGATGAATTGGTTTCAGATCAGCAGGTCAGGGTGTTTTGTTTTGAGAAAGTAGGGACTCTTCCTTCGATTGTTTTGTGCTGTTTTCTAACAAAGGAATTTGACAGGGGCTTGTGGAGTGTTTCAACTGAAGTAAATAAATGTTTTCCAGTGAATGCACTATTAGACTAAAAAGTTCCATTTGTCTTCAGTACAGCTTGATCATACTGAATGGGAAAATATAAAATAGCAAGGGCTGTTGGATTGCCCCAAGCTTCCACAGTTGGGAGTTAGGTTAAACTGGTACACAAGAAAGTTCTTTCTACCTTAGGGAAATGCCTTTCATCATCCTTTACCTTCAGGAACAACGAATTGGATGTAAAATATCCATTCCCAACTGCCACTTCTCATGTTCCCAAGGCTGCAGTGTAACACTCCTTGTGGGCACCTCCTGGGTGTCTCTGTTTTGTCTCTTCTTTTGGCAGCTTTTGGTCACAGCTCTCAAAAGTCCCCAGATTCAAGGTTAAACACCTTCAAGTCAGGTGTTTAACATCAAACTGAACTTCCATGAGAAAATCCATCCCAGCGCTGAATCTCCTGCCAGGGAACAGCCTCCAGGTCTCGTACAGGGCTCTCGAAGGTGGTTTAAGCTCCTACAAATGTACATTTGGGCAGAACAGCCCACCACACCTCCTGGAACAACATCAAAGAAATTGCCAGGGACAAGCAAAGATCTGCTAGAATCTTCATCTTTCGTGATGTTTTGCTTTTTGGTTTTGACCGTGACAAACTCCTCCAGTTGACTGCAGATTTCTCACCAGCCTGGACACGCTGGGGTAATCCTGGAGGAAAATCTGTCCTTTTACCAAATTCCTACTCTTTGCGGCCAGGCTTGAATGCCGAGACCTGAACTTTATGTCAGAGCCTGTGTGATCTGTTAGTCAGGACAATTGATATTTGAAACACTGTGCTAAGCTATCACCAACCACATTTTTCTCTGGTTCCTGGGAATGCTGCTTCTCTGGCTGTTCACAGCCATAGCAACTGGAAAACAGACTCTGTAGGAGAAAGAGCATCAAAGAATCCCCTCTGACAGTAAAAGGGAGAGGAAAAAACATATGATACAGAAAAGCAAGGAGCTATTCAGGGTCAGGCTCACATCCAGTTTTGAGGGAGAGATTTTCCACTAGAGGACAGAGATAGTCCAGAGTGAGAATAACAACAAAGTCCATAACACGATTTGCCTTGGTGCTTTCTGCCATAAGCCTTTTTTTTTTTTTCTTTCCCCACACTTGCCTCCCACCCACAATTTCACACATCAGATTTTTGCAGGTACCAGAGCAGCTGAGAATCCTGCTGGGAAGTTCAGCGCCCTGGACAGACAGACGACTGTGCTGGGTGTGTTTATTTCCACAGAACAGCTTGTCAGTTTAACAAAGACAAAGAGAAAAACATGTCACATCCAACCACCGTGTGTCTGTAGCACACTGAGGGGGATCTCATTGCTCTTTTCCATTGGCACTATAGGTTTAGCCCATAGCTCTATTTTCACACTCCTAAAGCTATGTTAAAATCATCAAGGGGTCAGCCACGAGCCTGCACTACTAAGTTCACCTTTAAACACAGGCTGTCTTGTCTCCTCCATCCCATAAGGATGGCAAAAGCATCTCTAACAGCAGCCCAACGTTTGTGTGTGCAGAATGCAGGGATGGGCACCAACAAAATAAAGGTTCAGAAAATAAAAATGCGCTTTTTGTCGGACATCCTGTTGCCAAGTCCCAGCCTACAGCTGTTTGCAGCGGAGAAGTGAAACTCTGATGATACAGTTTGTGATAGAAAAACTGTCAGACCTTCCATTTTAGCCACTTTTGTTCACCCTATACCAAAGACAGTAATGTGTCTGCTCCATTTAGAGAAGGCATTGCCTGAGCCATTTTCTTTCAGGTATTAAAAGAGGAAAAGTGGGAGTGTGCAGGGCCTGGCTCAGCAGACCCCAGGCTTTAGGCAACTGTAACTCAGCACCTCAGCAGATCACAGCAGTGCCATGTTAAATCCAGATGGGGCTGGAGTTTGGGCTTCAGAGGCTGGGGATGGGCATGGAGAGAGGGATGGATGGAGGGATGTTGGGCAGCATGATGAGGGCAGGTCTGTTGCCATCACAGAGATGTCAGCATGAGCCTGGTTTAGTCACAGCTGCTGCACCATTGCCAATATTCTCTGTCCCTCAGAGGGTGGGTATATCCAGGCTGAATTACTCTCTGTTGAAATCCTCACATCCCTTATAATTCCTCTGAACTGACACTTGGCTTTTTTTCTACCAGTGTTCCTCTGTGCTTTTGTATTTGCCCTGAGGCATCTTACCTGGATGCTCTTCAGAAGAGATGCACACTCCATACAGCCAAACAAGGCTGTGGAGAACACAGGAATTTTATAATCACAGGCAGTGCCACACTCAGCCCTCTGCCAGTGTGGCAGAAGGTGGCACAGCCATGTCAGACCCACCAGGCAGTGTTTAACACCAAACCCTTGGCCTTTCAACAACCTCAGTGCCCCGTGGGGTGGTTCAGTGGTGGAGTCACAATCAGCTCAGGCTTTGGGTGAGGAGCGTGGTGGGAATGGGACCACTGATCTGAGCCTTAGGACCAGCAGTAGCTGCCTGTTTTTTTAGGCTCCCATCATCTGGGGATGATTCCAGCCATGGACAACATTGCAGGACAGGCATGGAAGGAGTTTTACTTGGGCATTGCTGCGTTGATTGTGTTATTGAAGCCAAGCACCTTTTCTCCTTTCCTGCTTGGATTTTCACAGCTGTTACAGGAAAAATATTGGGGTTTTTTCACAGGTGGGGAAACTGGGGCATGGAGATTTCTCTGCCAAATGGCCTGAGGATCTTACACTACCACCCCAGCCCCACAGGCTGAAGCAGCCCTGCTGCAGCAAGGCGAGCTCAGGGGTGTGTGGGGCCAAGAGCACAAACACGTGCTCAGCATCTCTGCTCTGTGAGCGGTGTTTCGTCTGGGCTGTTCTGCTGTTGCTGAATTAGTCTTCTCTTTCTTTCAGTTTTAATTAGAAAGCCTAGTGGGAAAAGCTCTGCAGGAGCTCCAGTCACAGTTGGCCGGGCCCCTGGCTGGGTGAGCTGGAACCTGGCTGAGGGCAGGACCTGCTTGCAAGGAGAGGCTGCCAAGATTGTGCTGAGAAGTCTGTTTTGTAGGCTCTGCTCTTACCCAGGCTGTGCTTCGGCCAGGAAATGAAAGGTAAAATCTGGGGGGTTTTGCTGCTTTGGGTGTTCTGTGTTATTTCTAGCCTTTATATGAGAAAATCTAATATCACATTTCTTAAAAAAATCGAAATCTAATGTGATACTTTGCTCATGCACGGGGGGCAGTTGGGAAAGGCTGCTCCTCAGCTTTTATCTGTGGGTTTTTCTGGTAGTGCTGCAGGCCAGGTGCTGGCTGTGCTCAGCACTGTGGGATAGCCTGGCTGTGGTTCTGTACCAGCTGGAGCGTGTGGAATCCGTGTTGACCGACGCCTGCACGGCTTCATCCTTGTTTCTGGCTGTGAGCTGTGTCATGTGCCTTCTCCCAAACACCTCACTGCTGTCACAGCTCAGTGTTTGCCATATGTCACAGCCCCGTGCCTGAAGGTATGTGTTCCTTAGGATGCCTGGCCTTGACTGGGATGTGTTCGGAGACTTGCCTGTCTGTCCTCATGAGAGGCTTGGGCACCTCTCTCCAAGACAGATGGATTTTGGGTGCTTTTATTCTGACATCCCACAGTCAGTGACAACTCTGATGCAAATATTTATTGACTGTCCTTACACAGTAAACAAACTCTCACCCAAGGAACCCTGAATTACACCGAACCTGTTGTGTCATTTCACCTCAAGTATTCCTACTGCTAACAAGAGGCCTGACCAAACCCAGTAAAAGAGTATTTGCCCCAGCAAAGGCTGCCAAGTGCTGCAGAGGTACCAGGGCAGCAGTAAGGCAGCTCTGCACATGCACATATTTCTCCTCCCCTGCAGCCAGAATGTTTTATAAACCACTTCCTTCAAAAGAAATATATATTTGACATAAGGAAAATTACTTCAACCTCAGGTTAGCAAAATATTTATTTCATAAGTTGAAATATATGCAAAGCCCAGTGAAGTTACTTTCTTTTGACCTTAATTTTGAAGTCACTGTTTCAATGCAGTGCTTTACAGAAGGACCTTAGGCTTGCTCACCTTATTTTAACACAAGGAAAGGTGGAGAGGTCAAGAAACTTACCCAAAAACCCTCTCAGTGTCCACACCAAGGTTATCTGAATCCCTGTGGGTTCAGCAGGATCTGACACTGCTTCCCCTTCGTTCAGGTACCTTTTGTAGGAGGGAATTCTGTCTTGTAGCTAAAGGATACAGAGCTGTACCTTGTCTTTCAAGACAGTATTTGTGTTCCACATCAGGCTGCAAGAAGTTTTTCCAGCAACATTTGAGACTATAGTTTGGATCCCAGTGTGGTTTGAGGTCTGCTATACATTAGAAGTGCAGGTCTGTGGCTGCACAGCAGGTTTCATGGGAAAACATTTCTAAGTATTTTTGTTCCCCTTCTGAAAACTTCCTTAGGAAGAAGCTACTGCTAATTTTAGTAGGTGAATGGTGTTGCATGGCACAGGGCCAAAAGGATTTTAGTTTTCTGAATGATAACAGCTTTCATTTTGCAAATTGTACAAATGGTAGTACTGAGCAGCAGAAAAGCAATACAAGTGGTTCTTCAGGAAATGCTGATATGTGAACCTGTTTGCAATAACAGCTCCATGCAGTCACTGCTTTTTTAATGCTCCTTAAAAAAAAAAAAAAAATCAATCATGTCATTCCCAAGCAGATCTAAGCAAAGGAGAATCATCTCCAGGTGAAGGCTGAAGTTCACCATCCTTCTGAGTACATCAGGGCTGGTGTATCCCTTCATCTCTGTAATTATGTATGCTTTTGATATGGAAGGTGAGCCGAGCAGTTTGACCGAGTGCAGCTTGGAGATTTGGGATTTGTTTGAACTGCTCACCCCGAGTTCAGCTCTGGACTGCACAGCTTTGTGGCTCTGGAACAGACTCAGGGCCAGCAGTTAAGAGGCAAGCTCTGTGTGTATCCCCCTGTGGTCAGCAGCTTCTCTGCCTGTAATCTATGCAGATACATCAAAAGCAAAATATTTTTAACAACATCTCTCTGGAGAATAAATGAGGGAAGAAACAGTGGAGCCGTTCTTCCAGTCAGTGTGGATCTCTGTGTGGTTGCTGGATGTGAGGAGATGTGCAGCTTCCTTTGCACTGTGTGGAGCTTTCAGGAGTTTCGTCCTTTTCCTTTTTACTTTGGCAGAGGGAAAGGGGGCATGTTGCTGTTTTGCTGTGGGAGGTACAGCTCCCTCCAGGAGACTTAATGCCCAGGATTTTATTTTTCAGGAGCTTATTAAAAGTGACTGTGATTTACAGACGTCGTTTCAATCCTGTGATGGGCAAATTCACGCTGGGCACACTTTGCCCTGTGACTTCCAATCTTCCAGCTGTCCCCCATCCAAGCTGCTTCACAGCTGGAACAAAACCTGGCCAGGCTTGTCTGGTAGCACAGGGAAATGTGTTTTTAAAGGAACCAACTGGAAGGAAGGAGGTCAGAAGAAGCAGTCCTGCGTGGCTCAGATGCTCTCTAATGCATCAAGATATTTGCACACTGTCACCAACACCGGTGGCAAAGTGAGCAAACAGTATGGAAATCCAGGACCAAGGTATTAATGCTCGTGTCAGAGGTCATTGCACAAATGACTTAATCTGTCACTGAAATAAGGGATAGGAAATGTTGTCCATATCAAGGAAAACGTACACTTTGATGGGTTTGAGAGGGTGTTTTTCCTTCAGAAAGCAGCATGTGGTAAGTGAGTTACTGACATGCCAGTAATTCAAAGGAGGAGAGTTTTCAATCCCTGCTGTGCAGCCAAATGACAACATAATACAGTTAGGAAAGGAAAAAGGGAGCCTCAGTCATGGGCCTTCTATGCCTCATATTCTGCAACAACAAGCAACACCAAAAAACCACTCACACATCAGGCAACCTTGAGTTTCTCCTGCAGTTCTCAAAGTGGAATGAAAGTGAGCGAGTGAAAGATTTTAGGTGCAAATTGACTTGTTGGGTTTTGCCAGCCAAGCTTTTGAAAATGGATTTATTCCAGGAGGGAGTAAAAATAACTTTATATTTATTGGTTTTCAATATAATGGAAAATACCAACTTGTAAACCACTGAAAGATTTGGCTTTCAATCTCTTTACTCTTTAATTATTTTTTTCTTTTTCCCCAGGTGTCTCAACCAGAAAAGCTTAAGTTCAGAGAATTACCAAATGGGGGAGAACCCCCCAAGTGGTTAAATATTGTTTTTTGACAAATTTTTGACAAATTCAAAAAGCCTTTAAAAGGAATATTTTCTTTTTTAAACTTTTCAACCCAGTTTATTTGATTTAAAAAAAAAAAAAAAAAAAAGAGGTGTGAATTCTTGATGTGAAATTCAGGCTCAGAAGTGGCACAAGGATAAACTGCACCTAGAGGCACTGGGCCCCGCTGTCACCCAGGCAGGATGGGGGAGACACATCACACCTTGCTCCAACCTCTGTGAAGGTGAACTTCAGTCCATCGCTCGTGTTATTGGTGATAAAAGAAATGTGCTGCTGGAGGAGGTGTAAAAGGAATTCACAGACTTTCCTTAGGCACTGTGGAATAGCTCAGTAACCTTGGTGTGAACGTACAATCCGTCATTCGGTTTTCAAAATGCAACATGCAAAAAGACCCAGAGGATACGATATGAACCTCACTGAGGTGGACATTGGGTTATGTTCTGCCTTATACCTGCAAGAACACAAAAATTAATAATATTAGGTGCAACTCTGCCTTCCTGTGCTGTTTCTCCTTCTGCCAGGCAGAAACAGCACCAAGAAGTGGCAGCAGATTTCAGGAAAAAAAAATACACTTTCTGGTTTTCTTCAACAATTAAAATTAAAGCAAATTTTGCCAAAATGTATCATCTTAAAGAACAGTATCTCAGCTTTTTGCGAGTGAGTTACCCTCCTTTATATTTATTTATATTTTTATTTATTTCAAAAAGAAGCCAAACCAGCAACTCTGAAAAGGCATCAGCATTTACCAAAAGGCAGCCAGCTCTACATCTATATGATTGCTACTGACATTTGGGTTAGGGTCTTGAGTTTTTCCCAGAGAACATGTTGTCTCCTGGGATTTCTTGCCTAACCAGGGAGAGTAATGGAAACAGTATGAGGATAAGCTGTTCAGATAAGTGTTTGCCAGCCATCTAGTTTTATGGTTACTCGGAGCAATCTGCTACATATTCTTTGCGAATTATATTTTCCCCTATAAAGAGAGTTTGGTTAAGGCAAATAACTTTTTATTCCACTGTCAGCCCTATTCATCCGTGCCTGGAACAAGATGTCAGCTGTCTTTGAACATGAGAGGGTCTAATTTCTTATCAGCTTTAGTAAGATGATCTTTTTCTTATGTAGATTTATCAGAGCTGAGTGATGACTAACAAAAGTCATAACCCAAATGGCGACAGCCACAAAGGCCCCCAAGCCACAACTATTTGTAGACAATAATCCCAAATTAGTAACGTCTGGAACCACGAAGGCCCGTGTTCAGATACACTAATCTCATAACCATGTGTGTGAACACCAGCCAGCAGCAAATCCCCTCCCAGGGTGAGCACCCAACTGCACGTGGGAATCACAGGGTCAAACATCCCTGATTGCTGCAGACACAGACCCGGAGCGTGGCCTTGGACATCTGCTGCTCCCTCTGACTGCCAGGCCCCACGTGGCGACCTGAGAGAAGACCAGAAAAATGAAACCCCATGTTCCACTCACTCTGAAATGGTGTCCCAAGTGATTCTCGGGCTCACACTGCGCTACCTGGTGTTCCTTGCTATATTACTGCTGAAGAATACCTGGAATTTGTCTTTTCTTGTCTCAGCTCAGAACTGGAGTTTTAGGTCAATGGAGACCCTTGAGCTTTTGTGTGGATTTCTGCATATTTCTTTGCTTGAGGAAATAACAAAACCAAAGCATTATTTCATTGTGAGGTTTTCAAAATTAAGCTTTCCACTGCCACTGAAATGAAACTTTTATTTTAAAATTTACCTCTGCTGTCATTTAGCTCCCCTCCATCCAACCCAAAATGTTCAGCTTGAATTCCACTTTAAAAATAATAGTAATGATTGCTGAATTGCTTTAACACATTGCTTAGAAGAACTGGGCATCCCAGACTGTGGGTTTGGAGGGGAGTTGCTACTTGGGGACTATATCTTGCTGCAAAATATCTCATTTTAAAGACCCTCTGAGGAGTGCTGATGCCAGCAGCCAGCTGGCAGTCCTGGGCAATGCAATGCTGGTTCAGCATTTCATTGGGTTCCAGATGTTGCCAGCACTAGGAGGACAAAATGGTGCAGAACATATAAAATTGGGATTTAAATATGCTTTAGATTGCAAATGAACCAAGCAACTGCTGTTTTGTCCCACCCTACTAAGCAGTAAACTTCACACCACCACAAAAATAATAATAATAAATTACCTAGTTGTGGCTGTCACGTGCACAGAAGTGTTATCAAGTGTCCTGGTTTTGTCTGGGATGGAGTTAATTTTCTTCCTGGTACAGTGCTGTGTATGAGAATTTAGTATTTAGTATGAGAATTTAATATTTAGAATTTAGTATGAGAATAGCATTGATAACATGCTGATGAAACACCACTTGTTTCTCTTGGGTTTTATTCACCTTTCTCTTTTTGCTATTTTCCCTTTTTATTACTACTACTACTATTATTATTATTATTACTACTACTATAATAATATTTTATTTTGATTATTACAGTTCTTATCTCAACCCACAGCTTTTACCTTTTTCTGATTCTCCACCTCACCCTGCTGGGGGTGAGGAGAGAGGGGTGAGCAAGCAGCTCTGTGGGACTTGGTTGCCAAGCTGGGGTTAAACCACAGCGTTGAGAAATACTTGGCGACTTCAAGCATGACTGACAGTGTTCTGCAGAAAATCCTGGCATGTCTGTGTGGAATTCACCATGGAGTGTCAGGGAGGGATAACTGTGTGAGATACGTGGCGGAGCAATGTCTGAGTTGTGGGCACACACAGGAACGGGTGCTGGGCTGGCCATGGCTGCCCACACGTGTGGGCTCTTGCTTCAAGGTCAGCCTTAGGAGCTGTTTCCAGGTCTGTTGCCTCCCAGTCTGGCACCTGGGCTTGGGGCATCCCTCAGCACTCAGGGAGTTTGCAGGTGACACCAAGCTGAGTGGTGCTGTTGACCAGATGCCATCCAGAGGGCCTGGACAAGCTTGAGGAGTAGCCCATGGAAATCCCCCGGGGTTTAACGAGACCAAGTGCAAGGTGCTGCACCTGGGTTGGAGCAACCCCCCTGGTATCAATCCAGGCCGGGGGATGAACAGATGGAGAGCAGCCCTGGGGAGAAGAACTTGGGGTGGGAGTGCTGGTGGGTGAGAGGCTGGACATGACCCAGACATGTGCACTCACAGCCCAGAAACCACCTGTGTCCTGGGCTGCATCCTAAGCAGTGTGGGCAGCAGGGGAGGGGGGGATTCTGTCCCTCTGCCCCACTCAGGTGAGACCCCACCTACCTGCAGTGCTGCCTCCAGCTCTGGGGTCCCCAGCACAGGAAGGACATGGAGCTGTTGGAGCGAGTCCAGAGGAGGCCACCAAGTCCATTAGAGGGATGGAGCACCTCTGCTATGGGGAAAGGCTGAGAGAATGTTTTGTTTAGCCTGGAAAGGAGAAGACTTCAGGGTAACCTAATCGTGGCCTTCTAGTACCTGATGGGAGCCAACAAGAAAGATGGAGAGGGACTATTTACAAGGCTCTGTAGTGACAAGACCAGGGGGAATGGCTTCAAACAGAGAGAAAGTGGGTTTAGATTAGGTATTAGGAAGAAATTTTTCACTGAGGATGGTGAGGCACTGGCACAGGTTGCCCAGAGAAGCTGTGGCTGCCCTATCCCTGGAAATGTTCAAGGCTGGATGGAGCTCTGAGCAACCTGCTCTAGTAAAAGGTGTCCCTGCCCATGGAAGGGGAATTGGAACTAAATGATCTTTCAGGTCTCTTCCAACTTGCGTCATTCTATGATATAGTGACTGTGTCTGTAAAATTATGGACACGATAAAGTCCTGGGCTGCAGCTCCCTGGCTGAAGAGCTTGTTTTGTGGTCTGCTGCAACTGTATCCTCCTTTTATTCCTGAACACCACTTCTCTCTAAGGGTGAATGCTATTCTGTGAACTTGCAGCTTGCAGAATATTTTTTGTCTACTTCCTTTCAAGAGTTTTGACAAAATCTGGTACTCTCGGATATAAACAATGATAATTGCACAGCATTGAGGTGACTGAAACAAGTAGGGCTGGTCTTTAACTTTTTTATTGTTTCACAATTCTTATTTTATCCTGGCAATACAATGTCCATAATTAACAGCAATGTTGTGCTTTTGTGTGCATAACTGGAAGCTATTAATTAGGCAACTGCAGGGGAACAATAACTGAAAGTGTAGGAGGAAAGCAAAAGGACCATTACTCATGTTTTGTTGTGTTTCAGCCCTTCTCAGTAAACAGGTAGAGAAAAAGAAAGACTAATATCAGAAAAGGGTTTGTTTCCCAGCGGCAGTGTTTGGATCTACTCAATAGATGGATATCTTTGTACCCTTATGAATGCTACAATAACAACTGCCCTCCTTTTTTAGCATGCTAATCACACAGAAAATGTTAATCTTGCTAAGTATTATAATGCCTAAGGGAAAAGAAGAATAATGTGTCCTGCTGTTAGGTGCTGCACAGACTCTGCCCGGATGTGTAAGGCAGACAGGGAGTGTGGGAAATGGATATGATACAGTTCCTGCTGTTAGGATGCAGTGGGAAAACTTCTCCTGCAGGATGGTAGCAGCGTGATTAGGACATGTTGGAGCAGGGCAGGGGAAGAAGATCAAACTGGAATTATTGTTTTTGCTTTTTTTTTTTTACAAAAAGGGTCTTTTGGAGTGAACTGATACGAGTCAGAAATTCACATCAAAGTCCTTGAGCTGTTTTAAAGGGAGAGAAAAAAAACTCCTGGAAAATTTGAAAAAGCTCATTTAGATGTTTTTAAGGCAGAACTTTTACAACCTTTCATGTTGAAGCAGTATTTTCTTTAGAGATGGACCTAGATTGAAGTTCTTTTAAAAAAAGTTACAGTGAAGCCACTTAATTTTGGTTCAAACAAGCCATTTTGTTCAAACAATCTTTTTTTACTTTTGTTTTGCTAACACCCCATCTTCCTTTGCCCCCTACCCCTACTCTTCATTTGGAGATGAT